ACAACTATCCTCTCTCGAAGAGTCAGCCCCACAACCAAGGAGGCCAACACACTCCCGGCTGTCGAAGTCGACTCCACTGCCTCCAACTGCAATCGCTCGAACTCCCAAAGAAGAACATCCTGCTTGGTGAACACGCAAGACAACTGGCCATGGCTCCTCCGACTAAGGGCGTCGGCCACTACATTAGCTTTCCCAGGGTGGTAGCTAATGGTGCAGTCGTAGTCCTTGACCAGCTCCAACCACCTACGCTGCCTCATGTTCAGCTCCTTCTGAGTGAAAATGTACTTTAAGCTTTTGTGGTCGGTAAAGATCTCGCACTTGACTCCATAGAGATAATGCCTCCAAATCTTCAATGCGTGGACAACAACGGTCAACTCAAGATCATGAGTGGGATAGTTCTGCTCGTGAGGCTTCAGCTGCCTCGAAGCATAGGCTACGAATTTCCCTTGCTGCATAAGGACGCACCCCAAACCCATCTTCGAAGCATCACTATAGACGGTGAACTCCAAAGTAGGGTCGGGTATGGCTATAACCGGTGCGGTAGTGAGTCTCCTCTTCAACTCCTGGAAACTCTCCTCGCACTGAGCACTCCAATCAAACCTCACGGCATTCTTCGTAAGGTTGGTCAGCGGCTGGGCTATCTTCGAGAAGCCCTCGATGAACCTCCTGTAGTATCCTGCTAACCCCAGGAAAATACGAACATCCGCGGCACTTCTTGGCGTATCCCACTTGCTCACTGCCTCGATCTTGCTGGGATCCACCTCAATGCCTCGAGCTGTCACAATGTGGCCAAGGAATGCCACACGCTGCAGCCAGAATTCGCACTTCGAGAACTTTGCATACAACTTCTCGCGGCGAAGAGTCTCTAGCAAATTCCTCAAATGCTCCTTGTGCTGATCGACATCTCGGGAATAAACCAGAATGTCGTCGATGAACACAATGACGAACTGGTCTAGAAAAGGATGGAAGACTCTATTCATAAGGTCCATGAAGATGGCCGGGGCATTACTGAGTCCGAAGGGCATGACTACAAACTCATAGTAGCCATAGTGAGTACGGAAAGCAGTCTTGGAAATATCCGACTCTCGGATCTTTAGCTGATGATAACCGGATCGCAAATCAATCTTTGAGAAGACGCTGGCTCCTCTCAG